TGTAGCGACATTGTAGTGACATTGTAGTGGCATTGTTGTGACATTGTTGTGACATTGTAGTGGCATTGTTGTGATGCTGTAGTAACATTGTAGTGGCATTGTTGAGATGTTGTAGTGACATTGTAGTGACATTGTTGTGATGTTGTAGTGACATTGTAGTGGCATTGTTGTGATGTTGTAGTGACATTGTTGCGATGTTGTAGTGGCATTGTTGTGACATTGTTGTGATGTAGTGGCATTGTTGTGATGTTGGTGACATTGTTGTGTTGTTGTAGTGACATTGTAGTGGTGTTGTTGTGATGTTGTAGTGTGTAGTGGCATTGTTGTGATGTTGGTGACATTGTTGTGTTGTTGTAGTGACATTGTAGTGGGGTTGTTGTGATGTTGTAGTGACATTGTTGTGACGTTGTGATGTTGTTGTGATGTTGTAGTGGCATTGTTGTGATGTTGTAGCGACATTGTAGTGGTGTTGTTGTGATGTTGTAGTGACATTGTAGTGGCATTGTTGTGATGTTGTAGCGACATTGTAGTGGTGTTGTTGTGATGTTGTAGTGACATTGTTGCGACATTGTTGAGAGGTTGTTGTGATATTGTAGTGGCATTGTTGTGATGTTGTAGTGACATTGTAGTGGCATTGTAGTGGCGTTGTAGTGAAATTGTTGTGATGTTGTAGTGGCGTTGTTGTGATGTTATAGTGACATTGTAGTGGCATTGTTGTGACGTTGTAGTGGCATTGTTGTGACATTGTTGTGATGTTGTAGTGGCGTTGTAGTGATGTTATAGTGACATTGTAGTGGCATTGTTGTGACATTGTTGTGACATTGTAGTGGCATTGTTGTGATGCTGTAGTAACATTGTAGTGGCATTGTTGAGATGTTGTAGTGACATTGTAGTGACATTGTTGTGATGTTGTAGTGACATTGTAGTTGCGTTGTTGTGATGTTGTAGTGACATTGTTGTAATGTTGTAGTGGAGTTGCTGTGATGTAATGACATTGTAGTGGCGTTGTTGTGATGTTGTAGTGACATTGTTGTGATGTTGTAGTGGCGTTGTTGTGATGTTGTAGTGACATTGTAGTGGCATTGTTGTGATGTTGTAGTGACGTGATGTTGTAGTGACATTGTAGTGGCGTTGTTGTGATGTTATAGTGACATTGTAGTGACATTGTTGTGATGTTGTAGTGGCATTGTTGTGATGTGGCGTTTTTGTGATGTTGTAGTGACATTGTAGTGGCGTTGTTGTGATCTTGTAGTGACATTGTAGTGGCATTGTTGTGATGTTGTAGTGACATTGTTGTGATGTTGTAGGGACATTGTAGTGGCATTGTTGTGATGTTGTAGTGGCATTGTAGTGGCATTGTTGTGACATTGTTGTGATGTTATAGTGGCATTGTTGTGACATTATTGTGCTGTAGTGACATTGTAGTGGCATTTTTGTGACATTGTAGTGGTGTTTTTGTAACATTGTAGTGGCATTTTTTGACATTGTAGTGACGTTGACGTTGTAGTGGTGGCGCTGTTGTGTCATTGTTAGGTTGTAGTGACATGGTTTGTTGTAGTGATGTTGTTGTGGCGTTGTAGTGACATTGTTGCATTGTTGTGGCGTTGTAGAGGCATTTTTGTGACATTGTAGTGGCATTATTGTTACGTAGTGACATTGTAGTGACACTGTTGTGACAGTGTAGTGGTGTTTTTGTGACATTGTAGTGATGTTATGACATTGTAGTGGCGTTGTGATGTAGTGATGTTGCATTGTAGTGACGCTGTAGTGGCATTGTTGTGACATTGTAGTGGCGTTGTCATGTGACGTTGTAATGGTGTCGTGACGTTGTAGTGCCACTGTTGTTGTGACGTTCTTGTTGTGACAGTGTAGTGATGTTGTTGTGGCCTTGTAGTGGTGTTGTTGTGATGGTGTAGTGATGTTTTAGTGACGTTGTGACATTATTATGCCGTTGTTGTGGTGCTGTAGTGACATGGTGACATTGTTGTGACATTGTTGTGATGTAGTGTTTTTGTGATGTTGCTGTGATATTGTTGTAATGTTGTGATGTTGTGGTGAATTTTGCAGCAGGGTGTGTGTCGATACTCTGTGACAGGAAGAGCTGGATATTGCTCAGGTTTCCGGATTCTTCCGCGTCACAATGAGGTGGCGCTGCAGTACGCCGTTGCTAATATCGGACCTGTGTCTGTTGGTGTCAACGCAAAACTTGCTTCCTTCCACAGATACAGAGGCGGTGAGACATAAAATATATCACACACACCTGTCTATCTGCTTTCAGTCCACACACACATGTATGCTTATTCTAAATGATAAATGTGTGTATTCAGGAATCTACAGCGATCCGAAGTGCAGCTCTGGACTGATCAATCATGCGGTTCTAGTTGTGGGATATGGCTCAGAAAATGGACAAGACTACTGGCTGGTGAAAAACAGGTTCATTTTCACTTGATACAAAATACTATAGCATTTTGTCATGTTCTAAAAGGTTATTTTAATATTATAATATGTTATATTTTTTTTTATAATAATTACTTTATATTATTCATCTTTTTATGAAATATAAATATATTTTATATTTGTTTACAATTATTTTAATTTTATTTATATTTGCTATAATATATTTTATATTTATTGTCATTCTTATAATAATAATTTTAATTGTAATTTAATATTTTTTATTAAATCTAAAAAAAAATGTTTTATACTTATTCCTGCAATATTATCAGTAATTATTTAATTATAATATTAATATTTGTATAAATATACATTTATTTTACATTTTATAATATTATATAAAATTTTTATAATTATATCATATTCATATTTGTATACATATAAATATTTTATATTTATTATCATTTTATATTATTAATGATTGTTTTTAATTGTAAGGTTCATCCTTTTATAAACAGTATTTTTAAATAACACTTTATAATATTATTATTATTTTAGTTATAATATGCATATTTTATAGGCAAATACAATATTTAATATGATCATTTTTAAATATATATTTTTATTATTTTATTATAATATTCATATTTTCATAAATATACTGTTTTATATTTATTTATGTAATAATCAGCAAGCTTCAGTAGCTGTAAGTTGCTGTATTTCAGTGTGAGCTCTAATGACCTCTAGTGTTGAAAATATGAAATGATGATTGATGATTTCTGTCTGTCTCAGCTGGGGAACAGCATGGGGTGAAAATGGCTTTATGCACATGGCACGAAATAAAAACATGTGTGGAATATCCAGCTTCGCGATTTACCCCACCATCTCATCCGACCGCATCTGATCTGTCTGAGACACTGGAGCAGGAATACCTTACTGAATATGCATTGATTTTCTTTAGTTCCCCTCACAGCTCAAACCCATAACAAAAGCAAAGAACACACATTTACAATAACCGTTTGCAATTGATATTATTGGAAATAAGGTTGATACTGCTTTAATATTTATACTTTAGGGGGAGGAGCATTCTCATTCAAGAGAGCATTTGATTGGACAAAAATGTCAATACTGTGATCAATATTTTTCCAAGCAAGAATATAATTAAACATCGAAATTAGAGATCCACTGTATTTAATAAATTAAAATGCAACATATAAAATAAAATAAATTAAAGATAAATTAAAATATTAAATGTAAAATTAATATAAATACGTTTAATATAAAAACTATTACAATTATTAAATCATAAAAATGTGTTAAGTCTTTAATTGAAACACTGAAATTAGAGATTCAGTGTTTTATGTAGCTAATGAAGAAAAATAAGTCTTACGGCTTTTACGCATGGTTTTTTGCATTTATTTCCATTCCATTATCTCCGTTTATTATTATTATTTCATTATTAGAATTAAATGATACAAGGTTTCTGGACCAAAAAACAAACAAACAAAAAAACAAAAACAAGGAAGAGATGTAATCTTTATGCACGAAACTGTGCTTATTTGGTTACTTGGTAAAACTATTAATAACTCATAAAAATGTATGTCTTTAAATAATTTAAACACTGAAATTAGAGATTTACCATTTTTCATAAAAAAAGAAAAAGTTAAAGGAAAAAGAAGGGTAAATAGTTATAATTGTAGTTATAATACCCATATTTTTTTATAAATATAATATTTTATATCAAATTTATCAGTTCTATAATGTATTATTTTAATTATAATATTCATACTTTTATAAATATATTATGTTTTATCATCCTTATAATATTATTAATAATTATTTTTATTATATAATTTTTTTTCTTTCTTTTTTTAAATGTATGTCTTTAAATAATTAAAACATTTAAATTAGAGATTGATTGTTTTACATTTACAATACATTTACATTTAGTCATTTAGCAAACGCTTTTATCCAAAGTGGCTTTTGTGGCTCATGAAGAAAAATAAGTCTTATTTTGTGTTTATGTTGACTGCTGTAAGAATAAATGAAGCTCAAAGTCTGATTAAAATGATTAAAACAAGCAGCATGGCTTTTATTGATTGTGTTATAAAGCATTACATTTAATACTTCTCTATAAGACAATTGTAGTCAAAACTGCAAATATAAAATGCTGCACATGTGCGTTTACCAGCGTTACAGTCCTGAGTCAGAAATACACAAACACTACTCATCAAACTGGACTCATGATTCATCTTTTGTTGGCCGTGAGGTGTGAATGAAGTTCAGTAGTGTGTGGATCGGATTGGATCGGGTCGCTCACATGTGTTCAGGATGGTTCTGAAGGCAGCTGATGAACTCCTTCACCTGCCGGCCCTCAAAACAGATCTGATAGACGGAGACGAACAGAGGAAACCTGCACACACACACACACACACACACACACACATTAAGGTTAAAACCAGTAGTTTAGAGGTACTAAAAATAGTTTGTAAAACATCGTCAAAAAAGCTGCATAAATAATAATGGTTATATTTTATTCTAATTAAATGATATAAGGTATCTGGACATAAAACAGGAAGATCGTAATGCTCTGGGTCATTTTGACCAGCAGAAAGATTGAGTCTGAGGGTTAATAACAGATGATGCGCACATTAAACTGCACAGTGATGACCTGCGTCACAGGTCAAAATAAATCCGTTTGGGATGCAGGCGTTTGAGTCGGACCTTCTGCGAGCGGGCGAAGGCCTCGGCCACGCGGCGGTTGCGTCCTCCGTAGCAGGTGGTGATGAGGTCGGCCACGCCGCAGCTCTCCAGGAAGGTGGCGGAGTTGACGGCACTCTTGCAGAAGATTTTGGAGCACAAACTGGCTTAAATTTCCTTAATTAGTTAATTAATTAATTAGCTTCGATGCCGAATTTTCCAGTTCATTTGCTCCATTTAGTGGCCAAAAACTACATTTCATGTCATTGATCCTAAGGGATGTTTACATTAAAATTATTGAGAAAAAATGTAAGGGTAACTAAAATTAAATAAACAAAAAACTCAAATAAATTAATATATAAAAAAAAATGTAAAATTAAAAAAAAATATATATATATATTTTTTTTTTTATTAAAATATTATTATGCCACGCCGCAGCTCTCCAGGAAGGTGGCGGAGTTGACGGCACTCTTGCAGAAGAGTTTGGAGAAGGCCACCATCTCCATCAGCCCCAGCCGGATCACAGCAGCTTTAGTGTTGTCACCGAAACCCAGACCGTCACAGAAACCTGCACCCACCGCCACGATGTTCTGCCACGCCACACACACACACATATTAATACACACACACACACACACACACACCAGACACTCAGCCAGACATTCACATGCACAATCTTTTATAAAAAATATTAAACGAGGGATGGTGAAGACTGCATGTTTTTATTTAGTCCTTCCTTGAGCAAGTTTTTAATGGCACGACTGGAACACTATGCTTCTACTTTTTCAAAATTATGACATACTAAGTCAGAATTATGACATAGAAGTCATAATGAGCTTGTATGTCAGCAATGACTCTGTATCTCATAATTAAAACTTTTCATCTCATAATTTTGATTTTAATTTTGTCATAATTATGTTTTAATTTCATAATTTTGAGTCTTTTTATCTCATTTTGATTTATGTAATATTTAGATTAATGTGATAATTTCTTTTCTTGACTTTGAATTTGGCTTTTTATCTCACAATTTAGATTTTTGTCATAATTATGTCTTTTTATCTCATCATTGACTTTTTCATGTCATAATTGTGACTTTTCCCTCATAATTTAGATTTTTGTCATAATTGACTTTATCTCATAGCTATCAACTTTTATCTCATAATTGTGATTTTTTTATTTCATAATTTTATTTTTTGCATAATTATGACTTATCTCATAATTTTGACTGTTTATGTCACAATTATAACTTTTTATCTCATATCATATATCATATCTTTTTGTCATAATTATTATGACCTTTAATCTCAATTTTGACATTTTGTCATAATTATGACTTTTTCTAATCATTTAGATTATCTCATAATTTTGACTTTGTGTCATAATTATGACTTCATCTCATAATTTAGATTTTATGCCATAATTATGACTTTTTATCTCATAATTTTGATTGTCATAATTATGCATTTTTATATCATAGTTTTTACATGTCATAATTAGGAGTTCTTATCTCATAATTTTAACTGTTCATCTAATAATTTTTACTTTTTCCTCAATTTAGATTATCTCATAATTTTGACTTTTTTTCATAATTATGACTTCATCTCATAATATTAATTTTATTCCATAATTATTATTGTATTTTATCTCATAATTTTGATTGTCATAATTATGCATTTTTATCTATTAGTTTAGATTTTTGTCATAATTAGTTCTTATCTCATAATTTTAACTGTTCATCTCATAATTATGACTTTTTGTCATAATTATGACTTTTCATCTCATTATTTAGATTTTATGCCATAATGATGACTTTTTATCTCATAATTTTGATTGTCATAATTTGAAGGTTTTCATCTCATAGTTTTGACTTTTATCTCATAATTTAAATTTCATGTCATAATTATGATGTCTTATCTCATAATTATAATTTACCAAAGCGTCCATAGGACATAACATTAGTAATCTGAATAAGACGAAATCACAGCATCACGTGTGTGTCTCAGTTACCTTCAGCGCTCCACACAGCTCCACCGTGTCGCTCTCCTTCACCACAGTGATGCGGAAGTTCGGCGTCTGCAGAAGCTCTTTGAAGATCTTGCCGTTGGATTCATTAGTGGCTCCTGAAACACACACACACACACAGTCATAAACACACGAGGTCAAGCGCTCTGCAGGCTTCTCACAGGAAGTGATGTCACACACACCGATGGTGGTCTCGCAGAACTTCTCCTCGGCCACCTCGCTGGCGATGTTGGCGCCCATCAGCACACTGACCTCGATCTCCAGCTTGGACCTGATGATGTTAGAGATCAGGGTCAGTCCATCCGGACCCTCATCGATACCCTAAACACACACACACACACACAAAGAGAATGGACTAAAAAATACTATGTGAAACTGTAAACCCTGTGCAGAAAATTCATGTTTTTATTTAGACTCAATTTTTATTTTTTTAGGCAGACGAAAATTTTACAACAAAAACATTTTTAGACCAAAAACAATTTTTAAATTAGAATAATCAATAAATTTAATAATTTAAAAATAACAGCATTTTTTGAAGTAAAATTTACAAATCAGCCGTGATGACGTAGTCTTTGCTAAGAAAATAGGGAATATACAGCTAATATTCTAAATGATGTTCTAATATTTGCATTATTTATGTAGAAATAAATGACGCATCATTTATAGATGACTATTGTCTAGTACCATGAAATCCACTCAAATTACAAAATATTAAAGAATAAATTCATACTTTAATGAGGGAGACCCCGATGGCTCCAGGTTTGACGTGAGGTTTCATCTGGTCACAGATTTTCCCAATAAACTGATGAGGAATGACGAAGATCAGGAAGTCGGCTCCGCTTGTGGCCTCTGTGACGTCAGGAACCGCCACCTGAGGAAACAGAGGAGCTCTGAACCCTGATCCCACTCTCAGCAGGGCTCTACGGCTCTTACTGATGGAAATCAGCTCAAAGACAGTGGGTAACAGGCTTTACGTGGTCTCTAGCTGGACATTTATGATCATGAGCTGCTTAACATCAGTGCTTCTCAACCCATATAACAATGTTTGAAGGTCCCTCATACTACTTCATCCAGAATTTCTGATTCAATTATGACAAGGCTAAAACATGTCTCATAATTCCAACTTTTTGTCATAATTATGATTTTTATCTCATAATTATGACTTAATGCCATATGACTTTTTAATCTCATAATTGTCTTTTTGTATTTTTATCTTATAATTTCAACATCAACATCAACTTTTTATAACATAATTTTGACTTTTTATCTCATAATTTCAACATTTTGTCAATTATGACTTTATATCTGATAATTATGAATTGTTATCTCATAATTATGACTTTCAATGCCATAAATATGACTTTTTAATCTTATAATTTTACCTTTTCGGCATAATTTAGATTTTTTTATCTCATAATTTCAAATGTTATAAGCTATTTTTATCATATTATTTGGACTTTTTATTCATATAAATTTGTCATAATTATGACATTTATCTCATAATCATGACTTTTAATGCCCTATGACTTTTTAATCTAATAATTTTGTCTTTTTGTATTTTTATCTCATAATTTCAACATCAGCATCAACTTTTTATAACATAATTTTGACTTTTTATCTCATAATTTCAACATTTTGTCAATTATGACTTTATATCTGATAATTATTAATTTTTATCTCATAATTATGACTTTCAATGCCATAAATATGACTTTTTAATCTTATAATTTTACCTTTTCGGCATAATTTAGATTTTTTTTATCTTATAATTTCAAATGTTATAATCAACTTTTTATAACAATTTTGACTTTTTATCTCATAATTTCAACATTTTGTCAATTATGACTTTATATCTGATAATTATTAATTTTTATCTCATAATTATGACTTTCAATGCCATAAATATGACTTTTTAATCTTATAATTTTACCTTTTCGGCATAATTTAGATTTTTTTTATCTTATAATTTCAAATGTTATAATCAACTTTTTATAACAATTTTGACTTTTTATCTCATAATTTCAATGTTTTGTCAATTATGACTTTATATCTCATAATTATGACTTTCACTGCCATAAGTATGACTAATCTCATAATTTCACCTTTTTGGCCTCATTTCGATTTTTTATCTCATGATTTTCCAGCTACACTGGCTGCTTTTTGTCATAATTATGATTTTTATCTCATAATTATGACTTAATGCCATATGACTTTTTAATCTCATAATTGTCTTTTTGTATTTTTATCTTATAATTTCAACATCAACATCAACTTTTTATAACATAATTTTGACTTTTTATCTCATAATTTCAACATTTTGTCAATTATGACTTTATATCTGATAATTATGAATTGTTATCTCATAATTATGACTTTCAATGCCATAAATATGACTTTTTAATCTTATAATTTTACCTTTTCGGCATAATTTAGATTTTTTTATCTCATAATTTCAAATGTTATAAGCTATTTTTATCATATTATTTGGACTTTTTATTCATATAAATTTGTCATAATTATGACATTTATCTCATAATCATGACTTTTAATGCCCTATGACTTTTTAATCTAATAATTTTGTCTTTTTGTATTTTTATCTCATAATTTCAACATCAGCATCAACTTTTTATAACATAATTTTGACTTTTTATCTCATAATTTCAACATTTTGTCAATTATGACTTTATATCTGATAATTATTAATTTTTATCTCATAATTATGACTTTCAATGCCATAAATATGACTTTTTAATCTTATAATTTTACCTTTTCGGCATAATTTAGATTTTTTTTATCTTATAATTTCAAATGTTATAATCAACTTTTTATAACAATTTTGACTTTTTATCTCATAATTTCAATGTTTTGTCAATTATGACTTTATATCTCATAATTATGACTTTCACTGCCATAAGTATGACTAATCTCATAATTTCACCTTTTTGGCCTCATTTCGATTTTTTATCTCATGATTTTCCAGCTACACTGGCTTCCTGCCTGTTATTGCATACAATATAAAATTTTGCTGCTTACTTATAAAGCACTTCATAATCTGGCACCTTTTTATCTCTCAAATCTTCTTCAATTGTACACTCCTACACGTTCTTTGAGATCATTCTCTGCAGACTTACTGAGAGTTCCAAATTTTAAGTTGAGTTCTTTTAGTTGTGCTGCGCCAAAATGATGGAACTCTTTGCCACTGCATATCCGCCAGCTGAATTCCATTTCCCTTTTTAAAGATCAGATTAAAACTTATTTGTTTAGAATAGCTTTTAGTGATATGACTGATTGATTTGTATGTTTGTCTGTTTTGTAGCTTTGTATTTTGTATTTTATTGCTTTCCTTTTATGATGTACTGTGACCTTAATTGTCTTGAAAGGCGTCTAAAAATTAAAAGTATTAATTTCAAATGTTATAATCTACTTTTTATCGTATTTTGACTTTTTAATCTTATAATTTTGTCATAATTATGACATTTTGTCTAACTGATATAATCAACTTTTTTATCACATAATTTACAATTTTATCTCATAATTATGACCTAATCTCATAATTATTCATTTTATTTCATATTTATGATTTTTAATGCCATAAATATGACTTTTTATCTCATAATTTTTTATTTTCTTTTAGAAATTTGACTGTCATAATTTCAACTGTTTTAATCGACTTTTTAATCACATAATTCTGACTTTTTTAATGTCATAATTATGACTTTTAATACCATAGATATGACTTTATAATAATATTACAATTTTATCTCTTTTTTTCATTATTTAAACTTTTTATCTCATAATTTACTGTTTTATTGGTTACTGGGAAGGGGTTATGTTTTCATTTTTACTTGAATCTTTTAAATTTTTGATTAAGTTTTAATTATTTTTTTAATAAAATTAACCATCCTGATAATCTTGGACCAGCAACAACCTAGAATGACCCGTTCTGTTCCAGCAGGTTATCTTCATCAAATGGACGGGTAGATCAAGACATTTCTAATGCCATATCTGAAAGATTGCTACACCACTTTCATTATTCCTTCAGCTTTGACCTGGTTAATTATAGTCTGTTTGCATTGCTGTTCTCTAACTAGGGATCCATATTTGTGTGCAGTGATTTCAAAACCACAAGTTCACGTTTGCTCATTTATCTTCATATGAGTCATATAATGACATATGAGATTATTAATCTGCTTCACGATGTTGTGTAATTTTGCGGCAGTAACATGTAGATGAGTGTAAAGGTGATCTGTGCAAAGTCCAGCACTTTAATCTGTGTGCAAACCTACTGATAACCAGCTCACATCTAACACTTTCTCAAAGATACCGCGGTATTACCTTCTGGACTTCACTAGATCACAAATCAAGCACGTTCCAGCTGAAACATCTCAATTAAAATTTACGTTTAAAATTTGTTTTTTTTAATGTTTCGTCTTGGTTAAACGAACATTCCAGAACATTCCATTTTATCATTGTGCTAACATTCTGGCAGTGTTACTTTTGAATGTTCTCTGAACATTCTGAAACGAATAGTAACATTCAAACAATGTTAGATGAATGTTCCACTTGTTTCAGAACAAAAACAAAAACATTCCATGACTGATGTATAAATAATGTTTTTGCTGTGTTTCGAGAACATCATTAAACGCTTTATTAATGTAACTGGAAGAACGTTTGTTCATAACTTTTTAGAGAACCTTTACAGAAAGCTGTATATGTTTTAAGAATGTTTTGCTGACGTTCCCATGACGTTCTCATGAAAACAATATTTCTCAACGTTCTCTGAATGTTCAAAATGTCCAGTTTTCTAATGTTTTAAAAGGGTTTTGGTTATACGAATGTTAAGGGAACATTCCATTTGATCATTTTGCAAACATAGGAATGTTACTTTTGAATGTTCTCTGAATGTTTTGAAACAAGTAGTAACATTTAAAAGATGTCAGACGAATGTCCAACTAACTGGAAGTACGTAACTTTGAGAGAACCTTTCCAGAACATTCTGAGAACATTCTCTGTTTGCTGGGGTTATACAGGTTAAACATCTTCGAATTACCTTGGAGTACTACGCGGTATTATGGTCTGTTCCCATCACTGTACTATTAAGAGAAACACACACCACATTTTTGGGCATTTTGTGTCCAGGCAGATATTTGACGTTCTCGTGTTCGGTGTTGATGATCTCGGTGAGTTTGCGTCCATCAATCATCTCCTCATAGACCCACATCTTCACCATTGGATCGAAGCGGTTTGATGCTTTCACATTGTGCCCGATGATCTTAGCAATGGCAGAACCCCTGACCAACACACACACACACATCACTGACCAAGAAACAACACGTTATGACAGCCACTGTGTAAGTGAATATATTTCAACAACAAAAAGAAACGTTATAATTTAGAAGTTAATTTAAAAACTGCATTATTTGCAATTTACATGCTTGCATACAATTTTTAAGTTGAATGTTGATTTAAAAATAAATAGTAATTTACATTTACATTTAGTCATTTAGCAGATGCTTTTATCCAAAGCGACTTACAAATGAGAACAATAGAAGCAATCAAAACTAACAAAAGAGCAATATACGCAAGTTTTTTTATTATATAATAAAAAGAAAACAGATAGAATAGAAAAAGAATAGAGCAAGCTAGTGTTAGAGGTAATTAATTTTTATTTATTTAAATATTAATTAAATTTAAGTTTGGGCTCTGCTGTTAATTGTAAGCTTATAGTAATGTAAAAGGGCTCCCTATAGTTTAGAGCATAAGCTGAGGTAGATTTTTAATTATGATTGAATTTATTTCAAAAAATTAAAAACGGTGTCAAAACCGAGGTACGTACCGAACCGTCATGTTTCTGTACGTTACACCCCTAATATATAAATATATATATTTAAATAGCTTTTTTATATATATTATATTTTTTCAAAATATCTGCAGAAAATATATTTACATACATATACATTAAGACCATATATTATAGCCATATATTTAAAATTGCCATAGGTACTGGCAACACAAACTAAAGACTACAGCTATTGTTAGTAAAACTGCTGATTGATTGAATAACTGGATGTGAGAAGCTTCAGAATCAGGTTTACTACAAGAAAATATGATACTATGTGCAAAAAACATAATGAATATGGCAATCAAATAGTAGTAACGAAGTACCACGGTCTCACTGAGCATTAGAGCAGCGTGGTAACACCACAGTAGTTTTTGTAAGAGTACATATACAAACACACAAATGTGGAAATTCAAGACTGACGCAGCTGAAAATGAAACTCGATGCTCGTCTGGCGTCGCGTCCGCTGCGTCGCGTTAAGCGCGAGTAAACTGCAAACAGCTCCTAAAGCGTTTACTGCGTCGCGTTCATATAAGACGGAACTCACCAGTTTCCTGAGCCGATAATACACACTTTCTTGCCTGGCATCGCGTTTGTTGCTGTCTAATGATCAGTCAGAGAGAGAGTGAAGTTTGACTTCCTGAGAGAGAGAGAGAGAGACGGAGAGAGAGAGAGAGAGACGGAGAGAGAGAGAGAGAGACGGAGAGAGAGAGAGAGAGACGGAGAGAGAGAGAGAGAGACGGAGAGAGAGAGAGAGAGACGGAGAGAGAGAGAGAGAGACGGAGAGAGAGAGAGAGAGACGGAGAGAGAGAGAGAGAGACGGAGAGAGAGAGAGAGAGACGGAGAGAGAGAGAGAGAGACGGAGAGAGAGAGAGAGAGACGGAGAGAGAGAGAGAGAGACGGAGAGAGAGAGAGAGAGACGGAGAGAGAGAGAGAGAGACGGAGAGAGAGAGAGAGAGACGGAGAGAGAGAGAGAGAGACGGAGAGAGAGAGAGAGAGACGGAGAGAGAGAGAGAGAGACGGAGAGAGAGAGAGAGAGACGGAGAGAGAGAGAGAGAGACGGAGAGAGAGAGAGAGAGACGGAGAGAGAGAGAGAGAGACGGAGAGAGAGAGAGAGAGACGGAGAGAGAGAGAGAGAGACGGAGAGAGAGAGAGAGAGACGGAGAGAGAGAGAGAGAGACGGAGAGAGAGAGAGAGAGACGGAGAGAGAGAGAGAGAGACGGAGAGAGAGAGAGAGAGACGGAGAGAGAGAGAGAGAGACGGAGAGAGAGAGAGAGAGACGGAGAGAGAGAGAGAGAGACGGAGAGAGAGAGAGAGAGACGGAGAGAGAGAGAGAGAGACGGAGAGAGAGAGAGAGAGACGGAGAGAGAGAGAGAGAGACGGAGAGAGAGAGAGAGAGACGGAGAGAGAGAGAGAGAGACGGAGAGAGAGAGAGAGAGACGGAGAGAGAGAGAGAGAGACGGAGAGAGAGAGAGAGAGACGGAGAGAGAGAGAGAGAGACGGAGAGAGAGAGAGAGAGACGGAGAGAGAGAGAGAGAGACGGAGAGAGAGAGAGAGAGACGGAGAGAGAGAGAGAGAGACGGAGAGAGAGAGAGAGAGACGGAGAGAGAGAGAGAGAGACGGAGAGAGAGAGAGAGAGACGGAGAGAGAGAGAGAGAGACGGAGAGAGAGAGAGAGAGACGGAGAGAGAGAGAGAGAGACGGAGAGAGAGAGAGAGAGACGGAGAGAGAGAGAGAGAGACGGAGAGAGAGAGAGAGAGACGGAGAGAGAGAGAGAGAGACGGAGAGAGAGAGAGAGAGACGGAGAGAGAGAGAGAGAGACGGAGAGAGAGAGAGAGAGACGGAGAGAGAGAGAGAGAGACGGAGAGAGAGAGAGAGAGACGGAGAGAGAGAGAGAGAGACAGAGAGAATGTAAGGCTGGGTTCAACAGGTCTGGATTTGTTTTTTTCCAACATTCCTGCTTTGTTTGTGTCTAATCTGTGTTCTAGTCCTGCTGTTAACATTAAATTACATGGAAATGCTAATGATTTTTTTGTAATGATTCGTGCATTATAATGATTGAGTGCAGCTCGTATTAAATAATTTAAATGATTTCATTTAAGAACCAAATATCCAAGATCAAAGTCAAATACATGTGTCATATTTCACCAAATGTCCCACACAACTACAGAAGAACCTGAAATCAGCAACATTATGAGGATGTCTTTATGAAAATGTACAAATGCTTGAGGGTTTTTCCTCTACATAACAAAATATAATAGGATATATGTAATATAATAATGTCTTAATTATAATGTACAAATGAAAACCTTTTGCCTGAGGGTTTTGGGTCTAATATAATCATATAAAATAAAATAAAATAAAATAATATAATATATAATATAATATAATTTAATAATGTGAAAATGTACAGATGCAGACAAATGTCATTACATTTACATTTAATCATTTAGCAGATGCTTTTATCCAAAGCAACTTACAAATGAGGACAATAGAAGCAATCAGACCAACGAGAGAGCAACAGCAGTATACAAGTGCCATGACAAGTCTCAGTTAGTCTAGCACAGTACACGTAGCTAGAGTTAAAAAAAAAATTATAATAGAATAGAATAGAACAGAACAGAATAGGTAAGTGCTAGTATTAATTGGTCAGGTGCTGGCAAAAAATATGTGTCTTTAGATGTTTTTTGAAAATGGCTCGAATTGAGATCGGCAGGTCATTCCAGCACCTGGGAACAGTCCTGGAAAAGGTCCGTGAGAGTGATTTTGTGCCTCTTTGGGATGGCACCACGAGGCGTCGTTCACTTGAACGCAAGCTTCTGGAGGGAGCGTAGGTCTGAACTAGTGAGTTTAGGTATATTGGTGCAGCGCCAGTGGTTGTCTTGTAGGCAAGCATCAGTACCTTGAATTTGATGCGAGCGGCTACTGGAAGCCAGTGTAACCTGATGAGGGGAGGAGTAACGTGAGCTTTTTTTGGCTCATTGAAGACCACTCTCGCTGCTGCATTCTGGATCAGTTGCAGAGGCTTGATAGTGCATGC